CCATTTAGCCATTGTGGAATATCTTCCACAAAAGAAGAAAAAAATATTTAAATCATTTAGCAGAAGCACCCAGAATGATTTCCTTTATTGCTTATACCAGTTCAACATTACCAGCCCTGAGCCTGAATTACTTTGGACCATTTGCATTCTTTTTTCAGTTTGTTCTGCTCAGAAGACTTGTCAGGATGTCTGTGTTACAAACGTGCAGACAGTAGAGTTGTTTTTGCTTAAAGTTTCTGGGTGAGAATGAAGAAGCTGGCACCCAATGTGAAACGTAAATCAGTGTTGAAACTCTCCCTCCACCCCCTGTTATTCCTGTTTTGGTAGCCATGAGAAAATGGCTAGTATGGGGGATGGTTATGTTAATGGGATGATGGATTTTTATTAAGAATATATTGTTGACAGCTGATAAGAGATGTTTATTTGGTATTTTCTTCTTCCTAGGCGAAGCAGCCTTGGCATGCTTGCTAATTTTCTTTTCACCTCATGACACTGTGCGTTGCTCTCACTGCCCATCTTCTTGCTTGCTTTTTCTTAATGTCTTACACAGTGCAGTGGAGGCACATCTGAAGGGGACTGTTCAGGAAAAAAAGCTACTTACATGGCTTGCAGGTGACAGGTTTTGAATGACAAATATCTAGTGAGTAGGTCTGAGAAGCCCTATTTCTGGCCTATGTGCTTAATTTAGTACTGAAGTGGTGGTTTACACGAGCTCTAAATCAGGAAGAATACTGGACCACATGCCAGCCCATGGGAAGTGCCTGTTTACATGACTGTGCTGTGGAGACTTGGGTTCAAGATGCATCTTCAGATGAGGAATGGATTTGAGGTGGACATCAGTGAGGCCTGCCTGTTTTATGTAGATTAGACCTTACTCTTTCTTTATATAGTATCACTTTGCTGTAGCCTTAAAGTAGGCATGAGTATAATTTAAATAAGTTTTACACTAGCATAAGAATTAATGTAAAGATGACTCAGCCCCAACCAGAGCAGGATGTCAGGAGATTCTCAAATGGGCAAAGTTCAGCATGGCTTAGGTAAAGAAGCTTTTATTAACCTGAAATACAATAGGTAGTTGTTGGATTTTTTTTTCCTGTTAGAATTTTTTGTGTGCGTAAATCAACTAGACCTGTTGAAAATCATTTAGAAGCGGTTTCCTGACGTGGGAGATGATATGCACGTTAGGTAATTGAAATTGCATATGCTCCAGGAAGATATAACCTTGCCTTTCCCATTGCAGTGGGGCAGGATTGAACCTGTCTAAACTGTTTCATTCAGAGGGAGAGGAAAGGAGGAAATGAATTACTTTTTTATTTGCGCTGAAGGATTAGTTGTGGGATAGTAGTGAGCAGCCAAACAACTCGAGAACACCACTGCTGTCTCTTAAACATTTTTATTAGCTTGTGCTGATTTGTGAATTAGGAAAACGAAATAATATGATGCAAGAGAGCAAGGAAAGACAATGAAAAAACTGCAGGAAAGGACTGGAAAAAGGATCATCTCTGCCTGCCTGCTCTTCAAAGTGAGATGAAGAGCATGACCTTTTCTTGGAATAAATACAGGCTAGTGCACAGAGCTCATTTCTGATTTTTGGTTTTGCCAATTTGCAGTTGCTTGCTTGTGCTGTGATTCTTGTTGATTGTCCTGAGTATAACCTGTAGTTTACAGGAAGTACTCTCATGTGCTTTGATTTGAAGTCCATCCATCACTTGATTGCAGTTTTCATCTTTCAGCTCAGTGTACTCGTTGCTCAAAGACAGGGCTGTGCTGTGGTATCTGAATAACCGTAATGCAGCTGGACTGTAAAAACAGCTAGATTATGTAACACTTCCCATTTATAGTGAATATGTGATCACTAACCATATACATGATAATGATTCATGGATCACATTGAAACTTCACTTGCAAAGCACAGCTCGTATTTACTCTGCGCTGCAGAGCAGAGCCATAAGTGTGTGAGAGGGCAGATTCTCTCTATTCAGGTACCCTTATTTGCAGTACAAGATGGTTGCAAAAATAATATCCCTGTTTCCAGCACATTGCGGAAGTGATCTGGAAAAACAGGCTTTCATAGCGGACTTCTGGTCTTTGGGTTAGACCAGTCTCAGATACCCTAAGCAACCCATGCCCTCAGCATCTGCAGAGGAGTTGCTACAAAATTACAGCACAGTGATCGAAAGCAGAACTGGGCCCTTTGCTCTGGCAAAGAGAGGATGTGAAATACTCTTGGTGGTGCCCACGTGTCCTGCGTGGCAGTCGCTGGGAGCTGAGGCTCCTTGCACGCTCCAGGGAAGAGCACGTTCTGTGCTTCTGCTTAAGTCTCAAGCATGCTCAAGATGCGACGCTCCCTTAAATGGGAGTATTTACAGAGATGCGCGTTGCCCGTCGCAGAAACAAGTGCCTAAGGGTAAGGTCAAGTGCGCAAGTTGTTGCAGGTTAAACTAGCTGGGGCGATCACGGTGCAGCATCTGCTCCAGGGGAGCTGTCTGCAAGCAAGGGGCATGTGTAGCCCGTGGTGACTACAAGGTTTCTCCTCTTGCTTTCCCCGAGGGGTGGGTTGGTGGCCTTGCCTCCTGTCCTCTTTCCTGCGACATGTAAGTGCATGTCCAAGGATAGTTGCCACAGCTCGCCAGGAACAGCAGAATCTCTGCATGGACTTAAAGATTCCCAGCTCTTATTAAAAAAAAGGCCCATTAGGTCTTATTAAAATAATTGGAAACCATCTCATTTTTGCAGACTTGTTAAGGATTTCCTAGTAGTTCTTTGGAGTCCATTTTCAGGTTCATCAAAATGTTGTTTACCAGGGAATTAAGTGTTGGGTGACAAGCTTGGTGAAACAATAAAGATGTCCAAAATGACAGTTTTTGAGAGATTTCAGTTGATTGCCAAATTAGTGGGGGAGGGCAGGGAAGAAAAAGAGGGAAGAAGTAATTTTGAAAGTGCTGAAATGTTTCACTTTAACACTTAAAACCAAATATATAATGCATTTTTATGTATTTTGAATTTCTTTAATCTTGAGGTTTACATCATTTAAAGGAAAAAACGGCAGCTTGCAAATGACTTAAAAATGCTTTATTTGCTTCCTCTTTTTAGTTTGCTTTCTAAAGTAAAACAGCTTATGAGGTCGTGTGTGACTGTAGACTTCTCCATCAGATAGGCAGTAAGGTCCTGTTCTACTAGAAGAGTGGCCGTTGACCAAAATCTTGAAAGTTTAGCCCGACGTTTAGCTGAACACAGGGCTGGGGGTCTGAAGGATGTGGAAGCTGCAGTGCCTGTGTCATGGGGGAGCTGTACGGCCAGCTCAGTGTTTCTCAGTGGGCTTTTGGCTTTTGTAACAGGTTTATTGCATTGCTCTCACCTGTCAGGGAGAAGTGTTGAGACTACGCATCCACGCCACATTGCTCATGGTAGCAAACTTGGGGTGCCGGTGCTGTGGGAGGGCTTAGCCTCAGCCAGGAATCCAGTTGCAAAATATAACAGTTTTGGGTTAGATTTTGGAGGCTTTTGTTGTCATTTTGTTTATTTAGACACAGCAGACTACGTCGTAAACTCTTCTGAGGAGGTTCGTCTGCCTACCACTGTTGCGTGCTCCCACTTTCCTCTGCTCCTCTGCTCTTCACCCCTGAACTGCTCATGTCCATCTGTCTGACTTTTTTCCTGCCTACACGCGAGGGGAGATTCATCTGCACTTGTCTGGAGATATCTAATCTGAGCTGATGGTCTAGAGTCACTTTATGGAGGGAGAGGAGCAGCCCTTTCTAGAGGATGATTCAGTCCATCCTAAAGCAAATGTTTAAGATAGGTCGGGTTAATCATTTTCTGGTTTTCTCCATTCACTGTGAGGAAAGCTTGGACTACCTCAGGTGCAGATTTTTATTTTACTTATGTTTTCAGTTAGGGAACGTGCATTGCACCAGCATGCTTAGAAGGTGGGATCTCTATTCCCGATTCATGAAACTAGATAGGAAATGTCTTAAGAGGCTTATGGGCAAGGAGCTAGGAAGGGTTTGTGGCAGAAAGTGAGATGAAGAATAATTCAAGAAGCACAATTAGCCCATGGGAACCTAACCGAAGATTAAAAAAAAAAAAAAAGTCCAATTCAAGCCTTGTGGAAAACCGAAGATTATTCTAAGTTGTTTTTGTTTTTTGTTTTTTTTGTTTGTTTGTTTGTTTTTTTGTGGGCTTCAAGTGAAAATGTAGCACAATAGTTTCCCCAGAACCCCAGTAAAAAGTTCGAGGATAACTTAATGCCTTTTTATAGTTTTGAGTGTATGTTTGATATGATCTGAGAGTGAAACTGTAGTTTGGCACTTAAAATGGTATATTTTTCATGTCCTCCAGGCTACTGTTGCCTCTGCAGCAGAAGGTGCATAGAATTTGGTCAAAAAAATGAGAGCTGTCCCAGAAAGAAATATTGGTAGGTCAGGTCAAAAAATAAGTGTGAAAACACCTCACAATATTAAAAATCTCAGTTATGAAAAATACAATTGCTACTCCTGAATAGGAAGTATGTGTGCATATTTTTTGTTTTTTTTTTAAGTACTCATCTGTTATAGTGTTACAATTAACAACAAAAATAGAAAGGTATTTGTATTCCATTAGAGGAATTCAGTGAGAACACAAAAATCTTCTGGAATAGAGCTTTTTGCACACTAAGGGCTTTATTTGCACACACTTCTCAAAACAGCAAACCCAGAGAGGTTTTTTTTTTTCTTTTGTTATGGCAACAGAACTATTCAAGAATTTTTTTAATTATGTATTTTTTTCAGCAACTCTGAACTCTGGATTTTAACTATTTTTAATAAGATGTACAAAGCAAATAACTCTTCCTGTAACAGGTCAATGTGTTTCATGCAGACCCGATCTGGATCTCTCCATCACCATCTTAGCTCATTAAAAATGTATTTGCTTCAAGGAGCTGTTGGAATCAGTTGTACATTTGCTGAGCAGCTGCATGGATTTTCCTTTCTTAGTTTGTTTTGCTTATCTTTTACAGATCTATCTTACTATATTTGAAAGAGGAAAGCCAGTGAGAACTTGTGAAAGATCTGTCAGCTTCTGAAAAATCTTCATGCTAAAGGATAATCCAGGACTTCCTGAAGAAGAACCTAGTGAATGTTGTGAGTTACTAGCAGTAATAACATACATTTGCAGTTATGTCCCTTGTATGTGACTTTTGCACTGTAGTGTTTGCTGTAGTTGCTTTGGTGTCTGGGTTAGGCTGCAAAGACAGACTTTTAATTTTTCTCCCTCTCTACTTTTTCTAACGAGATTAAGGGCAGAGTGGTGATATCTGAGGAAAGATCTTGATTCTCTTTTCCTTGGGCTGATAACCGTTATTCAATGCAAAACTTGGTTGTTGTTGTTTCGAGGGATTTTGTTTTTTTTGTTGTTTTTTAACTAAATGCCTAACCTTGGTTTTGAAGGGTCTGTGACATTGTAACCTAACAAAACTGGAAAATGATATGGATTACTGTTCAGCTGTGTATAGTTATGGTTAAGGAGTATTATATATCCTCATACATTGATTTATATCATTTAGCCATTTTCAAATTAAGAGGTTGGAATTGTGGTTGTCTTTGTTCATTTCTGATGTTGCAAACTACTGTTAATTTGATCAAATGCTAATATTAGTTTGATTATTATGTATTTCCTATACAAATGCGCCTCTTCTCACAGGTTCACACTCATGGGAGGTAGAGCAGCATATCTTTCACAGAGAAAAACAGTCACATAATTAAGACCTGGTCCTGTAGCCTTTAATAAGAGAAACTGTTCCCATGAGGAAAGGCTAAAGATAAGGCATGAATATTTTAATGTTCATTGTTTTTCTTATGAAGTTTATGGCTTTTCTGGGTTGAAACGGGCAGTATGTGCAGTTCAAATGTTAACATCCTCACAAACAGAGCAAAACAAGAATTTTCTGCCTACCAAATCTGAGAATAATCCCTGGTGTTGCTTTCTCAGGGGCCTCTTACAAAATAGCTATTACAAAGAAACAGAAAAATCTTTGTCATCGCTCCCCTTTCCTGCATGTGAAATAGTTAATAAAGCTGACATTTGGAGTTCTCAGTAGCTGCTATCACTAAGTTGCTGAGTTAGTAATTCATTAAGATGAATAAGGGGCCTGCAAGACCTGAAGCTTTTCACTGTCTACATATCCAAGCAGATGTGGCCATATCAGTTTATTCCCACACTTTGAAAGCCTTCTTTGAAACCACAAAGGCTTAGTTTGTGAGCTGACATCCTAGAGCAGAGGAGGGCTGGCCTTTAATAATAATAATAATAATCAAAAAAACTGTCCTAGCATGCAAAGTTGTTGGGATGGCAGGAGCTGTTTGTTGAAGGTGTTGCAATTGCTTCCACTGATTGCAACAGCGGTGCTACCTCACGCCGAGGAGAGCGTTCTCCGGGTCCTGCATGGTTTGCGGCACCCGAGATCAACCAGATAAAGCGTGTAGGGGAGGATGTAATCATCAGCCCTGGCAGGTGATGGAGCATCTGTGTAAGATGCTGTCGGTGTGATCATGGCATCCTGCCCTGTCCTAAACGCTTTAAGAGGAGCCCATGCGGTGGTATGTTGTTGAGGTGACAAAACCCTGAATTAGCACCCGCGAAGCCCAGGTTTGGCAAGAAGTAGCACTCTTCTCACTAGGTACAGATGGAGAGAAAGCACTCTTGAAAACGGCTCCTGCCCAGGCATCCTGGAGCAGCTTCTTCAGAGGAGTCACTGGCAGGTGATGGAGAGCTCTTCACGACTCCCTGAGAACCTATTTTGTCACCTCACTGCTGCTTGCAGGACGGTGCTGTCGCAAGCAGGCAGGCGGCCAGGTTCCCCCTCTCCCCTCCCCTCTTCCCGGGATACTCTCAGGGAGATGGGAAGACCATAAATGAGGAGGAGTGGTATTTCTACCCTCACTGCTCACAGGAAATGCCAGCATGCAGTCATTTGACTTAAAAACGCTGCTCTCCCTTCCTTGAACGTTGGCAGGGAGTTGTCGCATTGAAGCATATGAAGAGAGGTTAAACCTTCCCTGCCATGAACAGTAGTTACTCTGTTCCCGTCTGTCTCGTTGCTCTGCCACCGAGGCAAGTTTCAGGCCTGGAGGAGGTGGAATCAGGAGGGCAGTAATTTGGGACCAGCACATGGTATCCACCTAGAAACTGAGTGTTTACTAAACAGCACAATTTTTCTCCCTTCTTCTCTCCTGCTCTTCTCATTTGGATGAAACCAATTTCTGGAATAGTGGAGCTGGTACAAATCAAGTCCATATTCTGCTTCTGCAGGGAGGAAAGAGATGCTGTGAGGATTTGTTAAGGAGGAATCTTACTTTGCTTAGGCAGAGCTAAAAGCAGAGGGAGGTGGGGTTCCTTTGCTGCTGCAAGAGGGCACCTTGAGATTTCCAGCATAAGGTTTTGTAACTTTTTGGTAGGATTTCAGTGCCCCGAGTTGTTTTAAACCCTAAAACATGCACTGTAGCCTTTTTGGAGCGCTTGCCACACATGCACAAACACATTCGGACACGAGCAATGAATAAACTCTTCATGTGCCTTGCTCGCAGGCATTTCTTCACTTTTTTTTTTTTCCACTTGTGCTAAAATCTCTGGCACGGTTTGTGGGAATCAGAAAATAAGCCTCTGGATCCTGTATGCGTCAGTAACTGAAGCAGCTTCGGCTGATCTCCTGTCTGGAGCTGTTACTTTGGGCAGAGGGCGGGCAGCAGGAGAGCAGCCGTTGCCTCAGGTGGCCGCAGGCCTCGCGCAGGGCCCGCACGCGTCCCGGCGTCGGCCTGGC